TTAAAAAAATAATAAAAAACTATTTTATGAAATAAAAAACTATTTTATGAAATTAAAAACTATTTTATGAAATTAAATATTTTATGAAATTAAAAAATATTCTATGAAATCAAAAACTATGACACAAAAGAGTACAATATTTACTGCACTCAAGTACCGTGCGCCATTTACAAAAATAAAAGACGCGCACCTACATTTTTATGCTCAAAATTTTGAGGAAAATGTCTGAGGTTAAAATGAAAAGAAAAAAAATGCATCACGAGCTGAATCGGAAGATGTTATTGAAAATAACTGAATGTGAGATTTTATGAGGACAGTATTACGAAGACTACTATATTTACACAAGCACCACGCGCCATCAAATAATATTCGCACCTTTCCAGCTTCCAGCCTAAAATTTGCAATAAATAAAAAATGCATTCACAACTAAGACGCGCACCCAACTTTTGAGTCCCCTTAGAATCGCAACACTGCAAGAATACACTCTATAGAAATCTGAATTTAGATTTAAATACAAACTCAACTGCTGGTCTTTAAAGTCACTGCTATGCATAATTTTTAGTACTGTATAGTACTTCACTTTAAACCGGATGTTGTCCCAGATATTTTGTTCTTATACACAAGTATCCGTGAACTATTTCGGAAAGCTGGAAAATTTATTTTACGATTGAAAATCCGTGCAATTAATCGATTGCCTTCAAATATTGCACACACCTGGATTTTGAACCCAATTTTTTTTATGTATCCCCAAGCGTACCACACTTGAAATTTCCTGGAAAAAATCTAATATTGAAAGAATTCATGGCATACAGGTAAATTTCATCTGAATTCTACTGGTCTTTGATTCTTGTTGTTTTACAAAATCACCAGCCATATTTCAGCTTCGTTAATTCCTTTGTATTAATTTTTCTGTCGAACAGCTACCAAAGATTTAAACATTTCCCCGGAATACTTTTAAAATTTTTTAGCTAACAAAACATTTTGCACGCTGATTTTTACTCATCTTAATTCAAAAGAAAAAATGCGCATGATACTGCAGTAAATATGGCGTTGTATTCAAAAATGAGACATCTTGAGTTTTTCTAGATAGATGCCTGACGATTTTTCTTTTCTTTTTTTTTCAAGCGCGGGTTTCTCAATTTTAAAAACTAAATTCCATGAAGCATCGAATAATACCTTCAAATACGTGTAAAGAGGCTCTTCTTTTTCTCCGTTCACTCTAATCTTGTTGAACAACGGAAAATTTGGCACAAAACCATTTCCGGGTCGGACGTAGGCGATGCCGTTGAAAATCTCTGTGGCATTTGCACCGGGCTCTTGCTAAAAATTATTAAGAAGCATTACTTGGGATCTGATAAGATAAATACAGTATCAAAAAATATTTGCAAAATTTGGCCAACAGAGTGAAAGCCGAAAGAGTATAATAGATACATAATTTATCCATAATTCTGCTTTTGCATGGACAATATTCTTGCATTTGAGAAAGTACAGTACATGTTGATTTCAAACGCCTGTACATTTTTATCGCTATTTTTGCACGACAATTACATTGCCAAATGTTGGTTGTCCACTGGTCAAAAAATCAAGAGCTCAAAAATATGCTTATATTTGGTTAGCCTAGATTCTCTTTTGCCCGGCATTAATTTTTTTTTGCTGAATTTCGACTCACGCCCCAAAAAAAGGAGAAATTGGGCAAGGCAGAGAAAATTGTACTCATTATTATTATTTTTAGATATTCAAGAATCGAAACCATAGTTTCTCAACAGTGAAGAATCAACAGGAGAACTTACATAACCGAATTGATTGCAAGGAAATCCGAGGATTTGGAGATAGCCGGCATATTTTTCTTGCAGAGCGTTTAGGGCGTGGTATTGATACGTCAAGCCTCAGAAAGTGGCGACGTTGACAATTAGCACAACCTGATACCCTATTTGTTTATTACGCTTCAGGGAATAGCGGTTAAAAAGGCGTAGGGTTAAAGTAAAAGGGAGGGTCCTTTAAAACGTTTATGGAAGGGACGTATCCGCCTTTTCAGTTAGCGTGGCCTAGGCAACAATTGTTCAGCTGAAAAGTTGTGCAACGAACCATCGCCAACAGGAGCACAAACGGAAAATAATTGTTCGGCGATCGAGTTATTATTCAGAATCATACACATCACAATAAAGCCAGTGGAGGTGAACTTTGACTTCATTGCTGCAATTCTTTCACTTTTTTTTCGCGCAATGAATGCCCTACGAAATGTTGATCGTATTTTCAAAATGAAGCCGAAGAAAGCGAAAACATGGCTCTATATATCAGAGGTTTTAAACAAGTATGATTAAAAATGGCCGCTCTGGGATTTTCATAAATCAGAAAATGAAACCCGAAAAAAATGTGAGAATTTTTCATAAATTGAAATTTTTGTAGCGGAAAAATTAGGTTCCAAACAAACTGTCTGACGAATTTTATGCCTTTGACTCAGGGTAAAGAGGAAAAACTAATTTTCTCAATGATTCTGCCTTATGTTGGAAAATCGCATATTTCATTAATTGAGAGTTAATTGAGAGCAATAATAAAAGCAAATAATGAAATGCCCAGAAAATGGGGAAAACTAGTTTTAAAAATTCAATATTATACGTTTCACTTCCTTTTCCAAATTCTGGTGCTGCCTCTTGAAAACAAATGTAGGTGAATTCTTCACATGACAAAATATATTGATTTTTCAAATCATAGTAGTGTTCAGCATATAACTGAAAAAATGTATAATTTCATTGTGAAAAATTAATTACAATATTCATTCAAGAAAAATAAATAATTGTTAATGAATCTAACTTCTAATTTTAAGGCTGACTTTTTTACTGCAATAAACATTTATTGGAGAGGCGTGTAATTTTCAAAATCAATTTCTCAGTTTAGAGTTCAAGAGCATTTCTCTAGATTAAATATTTTGAAATTCTCGACAATTCTTCATTCAAAACATTCGCGTTAATCTTTGAAACTGTTCCCACTCACAATGGTCACTAGAAAACAAAAAAAAGGGCTCCCCTCGACTCAAAAACTAAGAAAACCTTTTCTTCATGTTTTCGATTTCTCTCCAGTATCAAATATCCTCGAACCGGAAGTAGAAAATACACAGTAGGTCAGGAAAACCGAAGAAACACCGACACACTCAACAGAGAAGCTTGTTGAAAAAGACAGATTTGGTTTCCTCATAGAATGATTGAGCAAAATATATCATTCACATCAGCACACGAAAGATACTCGAACTAATATTATGTTGAATAACTGCAATGAAACCCGCAATCGTTTAAATATTTAAACACGACCGGAAAACGAATCAACGCTATAAAAACCGCTGCGCAAAATCAATGAACGCATTTAGGATTCAAAAATCATCGACACGATTCAATTTTCCAAAAATCAACATACGACAGCTGACATGAATCGGTCGGGATTAGGTCAAATCCACGGAACTGCTCTGATTTACCCGGAAATGAAACGATGACGTTTCCAACGATCATAAACCAACGGCGGCTTTGGAATTTTTATTTTATTTTTAAGATCGTTAAAAGGTGATTTAAAAAGTATCCCCTTTAAGGCAAGTGGTGTCAACTTTCGATTATTTTACCTTTTAAATTCTAAGAGACACTAAACTGAAATTAAAGTAGTGTATTAGAAGTGTAGTTTTAACGAGTCGTTGAGACATTATATAAACTGCAATAATAAGCAGAGCATTTAATAATTAATATTGAGGATTTTTCGCGAATAATCAAATTTTAATGCGGTATCCTTCAACTTGCTTTGCATTTGCTGCCGAATTATTTAGAGCTTAACAGATTAATATTTTCCGTCATGATATTCGTGGAAATAGTTGGCAAATGATGCATCCTAATCACTGAATATAAAACGAAAAAAATAGAATGTACTCACCGATGCGTCAAAGAAATTTGCGTCGAGAAATTTCAGCAGAATTCAGATGATGAATTGGACGGCGTGAAACAAATTTTTGCCGGAACTTTCCCAAAAATCTTCTTGTTTCACAAAATGTATCACTGTATCTCACTCACTAGAGGAAAAATTTCCCCGAAAACTGCACTAATTACGTATTCCCGGAACTGATTTCATTGATTACTTCACTGAAAAAAATTAACAAGAAGGCGAATCTGGAAAATTATGCTTCTTCTGTCATATGCTTCCAAAATCGCATAAAAGAACATATTCAATAATTGTACGCACCTTCAGCTCGTATCCAATAATTTGTTTTATTTTTTTCATTGAACACATTCATCCACGTGGAACAATACATTCATTACATATTTTTCAATCAATCATGATAAAATCAACAACTGCCAAAAATAATTTCCACTAAATTTTTCATAGGGGAAATTCCGTTCACCACAGTTGAAAGCTAATAAAATGGAAAATTTAAGATTCTCTGTGATTTGACTTTAATTTCATCACATAATCTTCACATCAAAATTGCTCATGTCGAGACATTTAAAAAAACTGCAATAATACGCACAGCATTCAATAATTTATATTGAGGATTTTTCGCGAAATCAAATTTTAAAATTTACTCGGTATCCTTCAACTTGCTTTGCATATTCTGCCGAATTATTTAGAGCGTAACATATTAATCTTTTCCGTCATGATATTCGTGGAAATACAGTAGTTGGCAACTGATACATCCTAATCACTGAATATAAAACGAAAAAAAAATGGAATGTACTCACCGATGCGTCAAAGAAATTTGCGTCGAGAAATTTCAGCAGAATTTAGATGATGAATTGGACGGCGTGAAACAAATTTTTGCCGGAACTTTCCCAAAAATCTTCTTGTTTCACAAAATGTATCACTGTATCTCACTCACTAGAGGAAAAATTTCCCCGAAAACCGCACTAATTACGTATTCCCGGAACTGATTTCATCGCTTACATCACTGAAAAAAATAAACAAGAAGGCGAATCTGGAAAAGTATGCTTCTTCTGCCATGCTTCCAAAATCGCATAAAAGATGCATATTCAATAATTGTTCGCACCTTCAGCTCGTATCCAATAATTTGTTTTATTTTTTTCATTGAACACATTCATCCACGTGGAACAATACATTCATTACATATTTTTTAATCAATCATGATAAAATCAACAACTGCCAAAAATATGCTTGGAAAGCATGTGACGCGTAACATTCATTAAACAAGACAGAAAAAATCCATGGTTGAATGAAGCGGAATGATGATGATGTTCAAGAATCGTTACTTTCAAAATCTCGAAGAATTTCCAAATTTTTAAGAAAACACTGCAAGTTCAAAAATTCACACGTGCTTCCAGGTCAAATGCCATTAATCTTTTTTCTTTCTAACGGGAATCACCAAAAACACAGAATTCACGGAATCAGTCCTTTCTCATTTCTTGAATCTCATAAAATTCAGGAGATGGATATAATTTCGTTGTAGATCACGGGAAAACTTACTAGGAAGAAGCTGCTTCTGCATGCTCCAATAATAAGACTGGGGCAGGTGAAGACCAAATGAGTTGAATTCAACAAAGCAGTTCTGAGACAAGGACTAGTTTTGTGGGAAAGCAAGTTCTTGAGGGACCAAGGTCAAATTCATTCAACTCCGGATTAAATCAATAATACCGTGGGATGAAAATGGCATATGGGTAGGGACCACACCCTGTACCCCCACCTCCTGGCATAACCCACCTCCTGGCTACTAAATCCCCCAGCCCCTATATTCATGCCATTGTCCCCACCTTTGGTGGGTCACTTTCTTCAAATTGGAGAAATAAAACAACTATAGAGTTTTTAAAGCTTAAAAAGAAGATTCAATTACATTAATTTTGAATTCTGTTCAAAAAACTGAACAAATGGATACCGAACATTCATGCATCCCTTCAGTGCAGAGTCAGAGCCACAATAAATGGTGATGGACTGGCAACTTACAATAAACCTCCTTCTGGACAGACCGTGTTAGTACCACAGGGTTTTTAACGACGTTATGACTGATACTCTTTTTTAGACGAGTCTTCACGTTTCGTCGTTTTTAGGTGTGAACTGTTACCCGGTTTAACAGTTCTTTACAACCCAAGATGTGAGTATATTTGCTTTCAGAGTGAAAAAGCATTGAAGTACAACTTATGTTTGTTTTCTATATCATAACAGGTTCTCAATGAGCTTTCAATGGGTTCAGAGGTCATTATAGAAATTAATACCTTACACTTCCATGTGCTGAGAACCTGGCACAAAGTTATTACTTATGTACTAATTTTATAACATGATAATTCAACTCAATTCTTTGCCTTATTCTGACAGTTGGATGAGCTGATAGAGCAGCCAACTTTCCAAGTCCACCAAGTGCACTTGCTAACATAAACTTTGATGTGATCAAGAATGAACTAGAAATGGAAAGTGGCAATTCATTCCTTGTGGGAGATTCTGGCCCTGATGATCCTCAACACCTGGTTGACTTTGCTACACAGGCTGGCCTTCAGGCTTTAATAAATACATGGAACACATTTGTTGATGGCACATTCTGGGCGGCACCAGCTCTTTTCGTAGTCGAACAGTCAAACGTAACAGTAGTACCCTGTCCAAAAAGGACGTCGAAAACGAAACGAAGGTTGATTTCTACTCGTTTGTATATGTTGGTACGAACCTGAGAATGACAGTCGTTACAAAACTCAGTATCAAGAGTGGTCTTACGCTCCCCACTAACTATATTTTCAAACCTGAATTTCTATCTGACTTTGAGACAAGATTATTGGCTTCCCTGAGTAATTATTTATATATGTCAGTGACCAGGGGCTGCTATTGTCACTAGGGGTGGTGGAATTAGTCGTAATTTAAAACCGGCTTATTGTCATATCCAGCCTCCCCAGGAAATATATTGTGAAAAAAACTTTCCTTTCTGCAAAACTGGCCCAATGTTGTACTGCTAAAAAATCCTGAAATTTTTCAAAAAATTATTGTTCTGAAAAACCAGATTAATCTTGTACAATGGTAAAGGAAAAATGTTGTTTCTTAAGAACTGGAACAACCTCATATGCCTGAACTGGAGTATTGTTGTCAAGATAAAAATGGAATTATCTGGTACATTAAAATTTTCCCTGTTCCCCTACAATACCTGATTTATGAAATAGACTACTGGGACAATAATTGTATGAAGAACATCCCTGTTCCCCTACAATACCTGATTTATGGATTAGGAGACATCTGTCCAAATCCTGTTAGATATTGTAAAAACATCATGGTTAAAAGAACAAACAAGTATAATTCTTTTTTGGCTTTCCTGAAAATTTTTTAGCAACCTTTGTGTGACATGAGTGGAGAACTGCACCTCCACTCCTGTCACAGGTTGCTAAAAATGTGTCAGGAAAGCCAAACAAAATGTTTAATCCTGTTCCAAGTCCTTGCTTGTACCAGATGTACGAGGAAGGGACAGTCTACATAGGACAAGGTTATTCCATATTCATCATTACAAGGAAAGTCCAGTTTTTGCAAGACAGGGTTGTTCCAATTTTAGGAAAAAGAATATGTTGACAATTTTATTACAGTTTAGCAGAAAAATTTCCAAAATGCTATGTTATTCCTGACAATGACACTCCTGACAACATTAAATCTCCACACATTATTCCAGCATGATGAGGTTAGTCCTGGCAACATTATTCCAGCCACCCTTTCACTATTCTCAGTGTATCTACCATCATGTTTGGGAATTAGATGCCTCATTGCTTTGAGGTTTTTCCCATCTCAATGGAAGGGTCATGTTTTCTATGTGAGCTGTCCATCATTTTTTACAAGTGACCCAAGAATTCACCACTTTTTGAGTGCTGATTTTATTCCAATGTGGATGAATAGGATCTCATTTTTGTTGTGGGACTGGCTTGGTGTTTCTGTGCATACAAATAATCCTGTGGAAGCATGGCACTTGACTTTGAAAAATAAGTTTGGCCAGTCAAAGCTGTGCATTTGGGAATTTTGTAAGATTTTGAAGGAAGAAGCAACAAATGCTGGGACAGGCATTGAAGACAGATTTCTTGGGCAAAATCTTCATTGTCATGATGCTGTTATTTACAGGGGTTTGACTCAAAGAATTTTAAATCTTTACCAAGAATTCCACAGCAGATCTAATCAGGATTTTCTTGAAGCTATAGCAGCTCAGGTTCCAAGCACTCCTTACTGATTTCTAACCAACTGATATGGCCTTTCTTGTTGAATTTTGAAACTGTTGTGCACTTTTCTTCAATTTGTGAGTGGTGCTGACCTGACCTTCATTGTTGACCTTTAAAACCTTTGTACATGTTCTCATTGTTATTTTGGATGAATATTGTTATTGATTTTTGACCCTTTAACATTGAAAAAAATGAAATTGTATGACGTTGTTATTTGTAAGGTATAGTTGTCCCACGCAAGGGAATATGCAACAATAACTACTGTTGTCCCATAATTTAGACTATACGCAAAGTAATATAATAAATTCCCGCCACCTCAAAATCCCTTCTGGATTTCCCCAATTGCGCAATTCAAAACCTTCTTGTCCATTTTATTTTGCCCCATTTTATTACAGTCTTCTTGTTTGTCTTGTGGCGTATGCATATATTTCTTTCCTGAGTTTGAATTTGTTGTCTGGAGATTTTCCAACTAATTTTGGTCTTTATAAAATTGAGTATTCGGTTATTATCTTTGTGGAATACATTTATCATTTCTCTTTTTGAGATAACTGGGTTATCTCCTGCCATGTTCCCTGGCAGATTGTGTTTCCTATTTTATTTTACTTTCATTTTGTATTTATTTTTAATCTTTGTGAATAAGTTTATCTCACATTATTGAACATTATCAAATGTGATGGCTGTTCTGTTTGTGTTTGGAAAATGTACTGCTCAGTTGATGTATTCATTACTCAAATTTACTTCAGGACCACATTTTTTACTCATTCTTANAAAATGCTATGTTATTCCTGACAATGACACTCCTGACAACATTAAATCTCCACACATTATTCCAGCATGATGAGGTTAGTCCTGGCAACATTATTCCAGCCACCCTTTCACTATTCTCAGTGTATCTACCATCATGTTTGGGAATTAGATGCCTCATTGCTTTGAGGTTTTTCCCATCTCAATGGAAGGGTCATGTTTTCTATGTGAGCTGTCCATCATTTTTTACAAGTGACCCAAGAATTCACCACTTTTTGAGTGCTGATTTTATTCCAATGTGGATGAATAGGATCTCATTTTTGTTGTGGGACTGGCTTGGTGTTTCTGTGCATACAAATAATCCTGTGGAAGCATGGCACTTGACTTTGAAAAATAAGTTTGGCCAGTCAAAGCTGTGCATTTGGGAATTTTGTAAGATTTTGAAGGAAGAAGCAACAAATGCTGGGACAGGCATTGAAGACAGATTTCTTGGGCAAAATCTTCATTGTCATGATGCTGTTATTTACAGGGGTTTGACTCAAAGAATTTTAAATCTTTACCAAGAATTCCACAGCAGATCTAATCAGGATTTTCTTGAAGCTATAGCAGCTCAGGTTCCAAGCACTCCTTACTGATTTCTAACCAACTGATATGGCCTTTCTTGTTGAATTTTGAAACTGTTGTGCACTTTTCTTCAATTTGTGAGTGGTGCTGACCTGACCTTCATTGTTGACCTTTAAAACCTTTGTACATGTTCTCATTGTTATTTTGGATGAATATTGTTATTGATTTTTGACCCTTTAACATTGAAAAAAATGAAATTGTATGACGTTGTTATTTGTAAGGTATAGTTGTCCCACGCAAGGGAATATGCAACAATAACTACTGTTGTCCCATAATTTAGACTATACGCAAAGTAATATAATAAATTCCCGCCACCTCAAAATCCCTTCTGGATTTCCCCAATTGCGCAATTCAAAACCTTCTTGTCCATTTTATTTTGCCCCATTTTATTACAGTCTT